GGTCTGTGATTCCCCAGAGCTAACAATATTAAGATTGTGTGGAAAGTTTTATAATTGTGTCGGGTCTAAAGTGGGGCAGGTTTCCCAAGTGAGGACTGTGTGTCCTGAGTACGAGTGGTAAAGAGTTGGCGTTTTCCAGAGCTTCTGCTCTTGCTCTCCCTTTCTCAGCATGGAGGTCAGGGAAGATGGTACCTTTGTGCTGCTGCTATTAGGGATCTTAACTATCTTCTTAACTATCTTCTCAGCTCCAAGTCCCCTTATACCCAAATACCAACGTGTGCTTTCTCAGTCTGATATGCACCAGGCGTCTTGATTAGGAGAATGCAGTTGTGTTGAGCCACGTCAGGGTAAGTTGGAGGGATTTTAGCACTTGGGATGCGTAAGGTTGCTATTACACAGCAGACTATGGACAGAAATCTGCAAGCTGTCTTGGTGTGGCTGCTTTGTCTTTCCTAGCTTCCCTTATCGTGCCTTTGAGACCCTGCCTCCTTTTCTGCTCTTTGCAAGGATGTGGCTCTGCTGATGCCCTTCTGTAAGGGCTTGTGGGCCACCCTGGTGCTCGCTGCTGAGCTAGGCACTTTCCTGACACATTGCACCCTTGCCATCCCTTATGCTAGTTCTGTTTCTTGCAAACAGGACTGGATTCAGCTGTGCTAGCGTCAAGGCAGCTGACTGTTGCACTGGGCTGAGTCCTGGGGTGTGAGTGCCGTGCCGTGGTAGCAGGAGTGGGGTGATGTGATGGATTGGGACCCTCCTCTGCATACTTGGTAATTCTGCACCTGGTGTAAGAGCAGAACGCAGGAGAAAAGCTGGTGTATTAAAGTTACTCTGCCACTGAACTGAAGCATGAAAATTTGGTTTTAAGCCCCTTTTGCAGATTAGCCAGAGCTGTGTGAATGCGGTGCTCACGTTAACCTTTATTCCTTCCTTTTAGCTGCTTATGTGGCTAAGGGGTCTGCTGGGAGCAGATCAAACACTTGTTCTTAATTTAGGGTGCTACAGTTCAGTACCGTAAGTACGTGCTCCATGGAACAACTTCTGGGACAGCCCGTGACAGCGTAAGGGTTGTCTTCATGTGTTGTGGTGCCCAGCATATGTAACTGGGGCCTTTTCCATGCGGGTAGGCTGCAGCGTTTCAGTTGGTAAATGTAAAGGGAAAGGTGACGAGTTCGACAGTGAAAGCTGGAAGTAACGTACCCGCAGCTGGGCACCAAAACTGCAGACTGGGTGGGTATGGATATGCTTAAATGCTTGGGTACAACTTTGAGCTTGGTTCAGAGATGAAGGGGTCCTGAGGAGGACACTTAGTGATCTAGTTTCTAGCATGTTTTCCTTCTTATAACTTTTAAATATGGAAGACCTTTCTGTTTTACAGTTGCACAGCACCTTGTACGGTAGCATCATCTGTTCTACCAGACTCCAGCACAGTCCAAAAAATTAATGTGTTTTGGAAGTCTTATTATGCAATTTAAGAGCATAGCAATATAATGAAATCTTTACAGGGAAAGCAATGAGAGTGAGTGGTTTTGTGTGAATTACAGGGTCTGTGAGTGGGTGAGACACTAGCTACTTGTTTTACTGCTGACAATATACTTATTTTCCTGTTTATTCCTGGATTACAATGTGTGACTAGCATCCCAGTAAACAGTCAGGCAAATAGTTATTTATCAAGTATTTAAAAGTGAAAGGTCTTGTAATTTTCCTTAGTAATGACTGTGATTTCTTCCAGCTGGAATAATGGCTCCCATTTCTCCCCATGAAGAACAAGAAGTGTTTTGATTTCTATATGGAGAGTTATTGTCTCCCATAATAATTCAGACCAGAGGATTATTTTTTTTTTCCCCCCCTTCCTGGCCTGGGATCTGGGAAAGGTTGAAATGTCCATAACCTGAATTAATACTGTGTAAAGCCCTTTGGTATTCGTTCTTTTGTCATTCCTGTTGGAGTGGTACAGGAGTCGCTGCTGGCATCAGCCCAGCCCCAGCCTACTTCAGAGCTGCTTTTGTTTCAGTTTATGAGGCAATCAGTGGGTCTTGTGATGGAATTGCCTTCAAAGGTCACTTTTAATTGCGTTTCTGACGCATTCCTCTGTCCCCAGCTGGGCAGTCCTGATGGAACAGGTTGTCTGCAGCTTTGCAGCTGAGTTTCTACAGCGGACAACTTCAAAAATATAGGCTAGAGCAGCTGCTGGCAGGGCAAAGGGAGCAAAAAAACCCAACTGAACAAAGTGTTACTCTCTGTGCCCAGCTATTGGTGCTGGTACCCTGAGATGGTGGAGGATGCAAGTATCAAAGCATAAGTAATCCCTTGGTAGCAACCCGTCTTGTGCCTCTGGACAGCCAAGTGATTTCTTTGCTGCCGAAGTGTCTGTCATTGAAGGGCTGTGCCAGACCCTCCCTGTGCATCACGTTGAGGGGGCCTCAGCAGGTAGAGGTTTCTCCTTTCTCACCCTTTCTGGGATTGAACACTTTCCTGCTCCAAGAGCTGTGACTTGTAGTGCCGGTCCAACCAACAGCCTACTAACTCTGTCAGGCTGCAGGCTGGCTAATCCCTGGAGCCATTTTTCACGTACGTCTTAGCTTTGTGCCTTCCTTTACCTCAACTGGTAGATCAGACATCACTCCGTTTTGTCTCTGGGTTGGAGGAGGCTGAGGGTACTCATGAGGTTAAGACCGAAGGGCCCTGTGTTGAGATCCTAGCTTTGCCACAGGCTTTGAAGACTTAGTCCCTGTCGTGCATGTCCAGATCCTGTAAGTTATTTAATTGCCAGATTCCTGTAGGTTTGTGAGAGCTGAGCTGGGCTGTCATCTCGTAGCGCAACGAGCAGAGTTAGTGGCAAGGCATGCTTTCTGTGACCTCTGCTTCCTTTCCCAACCCTTGCCTTCTCTTCGTCCTACACTCTTCAAGCCCCAGAAACGTGCAGGGTTTAACAGCTGGGATCTAACCCAGGAGCAGGTCCGTGCCTGTATCGAGGCCAGTGTAGAGGGTTTTCTTTTTTCCCCCATGGCGTGCGGTTACTAAGCTATGCCTTTCAAATTCCTGCATGCTCGGGGCCTGCGTGATGTTTCTCACGGCAGCTTGCGTGCTCCCTGTGTGCCGGGGCTGGACCGTGATGGGATGGGAGTGCAGGGGAGGTGACAGGAGGAGGGAGCCTGTGCTGGGATCCAGCGCTGCAAAGTGAATGAGAAGGGTGCCACTCCCCAGCGGGGCATGGGACGGAGCCGGCTCTTTGGATGCTGCATTTCAAAATAAATAGGCTGTATGATTGTATTCATCTGAACCCGACCCTCCTGGTTGGGAGGGAGCTCTGTGGGGGGTTCTGGCTAATTGCTGCATGAGGACCCCGAGTGTATTCTGTCGAAGGAAAGTCATGGATGTAGAGTAGCCGTTGGTGTACGACTGCTGCGTGACGTGACCGCTGTTGCCGAGGGTTGTGACTACTGGATGGCGTGTTTGGGATGTCCTAAATTGTGGCGATGCTGTAGCAAGGCTTTTGTTTCTTCCTGAACTGCTTTTCCCCTTTTCCCACCCCACCTCTTTCCAATCCGATCAGCAAACACTTCTAAATATTCATAACGTGGGATTTGTCTCTATCCGCATGACTGCCGCCGGTTTGAAAGGCATGTGACAACGCGGGGGGGAAATGGGGTTAATCTCCTCCTGCACTGGCAGAACAAGACTGAGCCGGAGGTGTACAGCACAAGAATTTGTTCTTATTTCTGAACATGCCTTTTCCACTGTATTTTCAGTCTGTGGAGAAGGAGGAAGGACAGTCTACCTCCCCTAACAGCTTCTTCAGATGCGGATTCGCTGTCAGGATGGGGACGTGGGTGCACTAGTTGTGTGTGCAAGTGGGATTTCAGGGCACCAGTGCCTCCAGGCCTAAGAAATAACTCCACAGAGCTTTCCTCGTTCCCAACCCAGCAGTAACCCAGCTGAGTTGGCAGCTCTTCAAGCTTCTCCATGTCCTTCAGCCAGTTTCTACATGGAAGTTGCAGGATCAGGCTGGTGGGTAGGAGGCAAGCAGCGATTAGCCTGACTTGTAACCAGGGCAGATCCTGTGACCGACGAGGATCTTGGCATCTCATCGGCACATCCTCTAAACTGGGGATGAGAGGCCCAGGCTGTGGGAAGATGGGATGGAGAACCGTGCCTTCCAGGCTGGCCAAGCTGTGGGTCTGTGGGAGGGAGCAGAATTGTTAGCTTGGCAAACCAGGGCATCTTCATTAAGAGCTACACGAGCGTGAAAAGCGTGTTGCTGGAGGCAGGTCATTGTAAATGAGAGGGGGCTAAAGTAGCTGGGGTTTTCTAACAATTAATTATTGAGTGGTTTTTCTAGAGATTCTTTCTCATGTTTGTAATTCATTCCCTGCTGTAGATGCTGTATTGATTTATAATTTTTTGAAGTTCAATATTTTGTGCCCTCAGGGCCTCAAACAAAAATTAACTAGAAAATGAGAGCAAATTTCTGCGTTCTGCCTTATCAGAGCTTTCTCTCCCGTTCCCCATCCCTGGAGCCGGTTTCTGTGCTCTGGTTTGGGTTGCAGATGTTGCCAAGCCCTTGTGCCGTGGGCTGTCAGATGTGGGTGGCAGAAGAGCTGCCTCACTGACCAACAAATGAGGAAATCAAGAGCCCAATTAAGAGCCTGGAATTGCCCCCAGTGACCTGAGCCAAGCATTTAGTAGCTGCTAGTGAGACAGGCCTGTTTGAATGAATAGGCACTCCTGTTCATCTGAAGAAAGAAAATCCCTTTCTCCCCCAGCTCTAATTAGCTCCTCTTTTCCTTTTTTTTCTGCCATGAATATAGAGGGTTTGTCACTGGAATAAAATCTTAACAAGATGCATCTTCTTCAGCTTGCAGCTGATGGAGGTGATCTCTGCGCAGGTGGTATGGGGACTCCTGTACCTGCTTTCTGTGTTTCCTTTGCTGGATCTTTGGTTTTACTGTTGTGAGTACAGCTCTTCCTTACCCTCTGGTTTGTCTCTTTTCCTCCAACAGAGTCACTAAAGAAGTGGACTCGACCTCAAAAGAAGCTAAATCTTTTCTGAAGCAGCAAGAGAAATGGCAGTCAGCAGCTCCACCTTCCCTCCCGACAGTCTCTGGGTGAGTATGTGATTTCTTTGCCCAGGTACAGACCTTTAGGGAGAAAGACGGCACTCGAACCGGTAATATAGGCTTTATGGTGTTTAAGCTAATGGGTATTTGTTTTCTGCAGGATTTCAGTGGGAGCAAGACAAGGCCTGGAAGGTGTGATGATTTTGGGGGGAGGGAAGCGGGGGAAGTGACCCATGAGTCCCAGTGACTCACTTTGTAGGTTCAGGTTTGAATTTCTCAATCCTTATAAATCATTCATGCTAGTAAGGAAATACTGCTTTAAATGTCTTGAGCAGCCTGATGAAACTGCAGGTAGCCAAGGAATTTGCCCAAGATTGCCTGCAGTTCCTTTGAGAGGTGCTTCTCGGGACCGTAAAAAGCCGTGACAGGCTGGGCTGTGTGTGGCTGCTTATTCACTTTGGGGGAATATTTGAATGAGAGAGGCTTTTGCCTCTGGTGTTCTCTAATATCATTTCGATGTGAATTTGTCACTTGCTGTTCAAGCTATAACACCTAATTCTGAGATTATCATAATGCTTGTCAAAGATACAAAGAGGTCAGGTCCCCTGTACATCTGCCATGCCACTCTGTGTGGATCTTGATGAGCTCGAGAGATCACCCGCTCCTCAGGAATAGAGGAGATGCTTCTGTGTTCCAGTAGTGATTTTTATTTAAGTCAATCATTTGCATTTATATTTGAAAGACATACGATTTGGTCACATAGAAACAACACCCATCAAATAAACACATTGTCCTTCCCATCTGCCGAAGAGCAATTCTCCAGTGTGAGTTAAGGCTGCCTTTCCCCGAGATAGGCTGTTATTCAGTTGCTGCAGCTGGATTGTCACTCATTTTTCCAGCTAAGCGTTGCATAGTTTGTAGTTAGATCAGGGTAGTGAAAGCATAGGACGTGTGTGTGTCACTCTTGGCAGCTGCTGCTCCCCAAGATGAATGAATGCATGCATAGATGAGCATGGTCTTCTTGCTGTTGTTCACGCTGCACAAGTGTTTGTCCCTACAGAGCTCATTAATTGTAACCTAAGTGTTGTGTATGGGGTTTTGTGCTGGAAAAACTTGCCTTGAGTTGGACTGGTGTTCTTTGTTCAATGGGGGCAGCCACAGAGGTGGTTTGGGTGGCAGCTGAAGCTAGGGCAGTTCCTTGCTGTGCGCACTGCCGGTGGTCCCATGTCTTCAAGCTCTGCTGTAGTAAATGCTCTGCTGCTCTGAGTGCAGACAGGCTTGGTAGCCCACTGGGAAAGCCCCATGGGCTGCTCACCTTCCTGCTCTGCTGAGATCTGTGTTTCCTCCTGTGTCTAAATGGCCCAGGGGAGGAGGTGGGTGGCCGGTGGGCCTGCACAGCCTAGTCATTACCAAGGTGCGTGGCCGCTTGTGCTGGAGCTCCGATTGTTCAGAAGAAGTAGTCAGAGCCCAGTTTGAGTTAACGCTGCATTTATCTGAAGTGAAGAATCCACGTCAGATATGGAAAAAATGGAATAAAAAGCAATACGAGAAATAATGAGTTCAAGGACTCCTTTGACTTTTCTCCGGTGTGATTATTTTGGAAGCAGCTTAATTAGGTCATCGTTCAGCTTGCTGATGTGTGATGTCCTGCTGACGGTTGCTTGCCCAGAATATGAGTTGGCCTGGCTGCAGGGAAGGGAGGGGAAAAATACCCTGCACTTGTATATCTTGCCTTCCTTCAGAGCAGCAAAGCCTGATGCGGTGCAGCTCCACGTGCCTTCCCTTTCACAACCTGCTGCAGAATATCCTGGGTTTGTGCAGTGATGCTATGGCAGAGGCGTAGCGGTGGTATTTTGATCAATGTGTGGAACAGCCCACCACTCTTGAGGGTTTAGCAGAAGACTGGGGTAGCCTGACTAGTGTGTGCCCTCTGGTCTGAGTGCTCCAGGGAGTCATCTTCCTTGGGATAGTATCCGAGACTGATTCCTGAGCCTGCTGGCAAACATGCTTGCCTTTGGGCTTGGGAGGGTGCTTCCAGCTGGGAAGTCAGCCAGGGTATTTTCAGGTGAGAAAATTGCAAACAGGCTTGCAGTGTCCCATAAAGCCAGAGGCGAGTCCCTTACGTTAAGAAAAATTATAAAGGTCAGGTTTTAGATTTGGAGCCAAGCTATTGTCCAAGCCCAGCTCCTCTGGAGTGCCAGAGCAACGCCTGGGGACTGACAGAGCCTGGCGTAGCCTGATGGTTCTTTGCTGGTGCCTTTTGGCTACTTAAAATAGAAGTTTTGGGGGAGAGGGTGCATTTCTCCCTTGTGCATTACAGGAGAGCCCCAGTCTGGGTCAGTATCACTAGAAGGCAGTGAAAAAAATACATGAATTGGGATCCTAGATGTGCCTGTGGACACCCACTGTGCTGTGAGCCATTGTCAGCCCCCAGGAGCTTCGTCAGCTATTTAAAAAAAGAAGAACCTTGCCCTATGTGCAGGGGATCCAAGGAGAAGCTAAAAGTGGTCTCTCCATCTGGCTTTTCTTTCTTCACCTTTGCAAACAGCTTGCATTATTTCTGGATGCAGCCAGCCTACCCTGCATTTATTTAATTTCCCTTCTCTAAACAGACAGAAGTAATCCAGGAAAGCTGCGGTCGCAAACCCAAACATCCGGTTCCACAGCTCCACGTTACAAACCCTTGCAGCCTAACTGGTCCAGGGGAAGGGATGTTTGGGGCTGAAAGTGCATTTCCTGAATGTGTTTAACATCCATAGCGGATGTGCTATAAAAAGCTAGAGTTGTGCTTGTGAGGGACACGGGGGTGGTTGGGGGAGAATAACTTAAACACTTGGCTGTAATTAAAGCCAGGAGTACAAAACAACCCACCCAGTTCTCTCAGCAGGCTTTGCTAGAAAGGTCAGAAGCCCTTCGTTCCCAGGGATGTGGTGGTTTTCTTCCCATTCTTCTCAGCGTGTCCCCCCATGACACCCAGCTAGGCAGCCGCCCATCAGCAGTGGGTATCGGTTTGTTGGAGAGATTTGGGGTTGATGCTCTGTTCCAGCCGTGTTTCTGGCATGCTCTTGGGTTGCGTTAGGCTCTCACTGATGCTGTCAGAGGTATTGCATGTGATGAGGGGATCCACTGATCCCTTTTAATTTGCTGTCACAGAAAAGGGGTGGAAGGCTCCTGGCATTCAAAAAAAAAAAAGCCTTCCACCTACCCCACTAAGCCTTCTTGCCTGTCTGTGTTTTACGTCTCGTTTCATATCCTCAGCACTGCTCCGGGGCCTTTTGAGGGCAGCAGGAGTAGCTCCCAGCTGTAAATGCCTGACCTGATGGAGGGATCAGTCAGCTCCGTGGGCATCCCTGGTGCTCTGAGAGCTCCTTTCTGCCCCCTCCCCGAGCCCAGCAGGATCCGTGAGCGGGGTCCATCATCCTCTGCACTGGTAATCCTATTTTGCAACCACCATTTCATATTTGGAGGATGTTAAAGCAAATGAAATCCTCCGTGCAGCTTACTGCGGAACGATTGCGTGCGTGTACTTGTGCATGCTTGACTTGAGACACAACAGAGGGGTTGAGCTACAGGCTGGGAAATACCTGCACAGACCTGAGCCCTTCGGCGTGAGCGGCTGCAATCTCCCCGTCAGTCCTTGACGCTTGTCAAAGCACAGCGGCGTTGCGTAGGGACCAGTGCTGCTGTAGCAGTCCTGAAAATGATAAAAACGTAGTTGGTGGATCTTATTTGAGATTTTCCTCTAGGCAGCTGTTTCTACACGGCCTGAACAGGAGCCAGGAAGAAAAAGGGAGGTTTTTCACTGGCTTTGTTCTTGCCTTTGCTTATTACCAAAACCATTTGTAATTAAATGTGGACTTGCTCACTGAGCCCAGCTGTTGCTTTTCTGTTTGATCCTCCTTGAAATTACAGTGGTGGATATGTGACCTCCTAGGCCTTTTCATGCCTTGTAGGCTGGTATAAACACAGGGTAAAATTTACCTTTGAAGCAAGCGGGCACCCCTCCCACGGAGTTCAGGAGGTGCGGTGCTTGCCAACCCCTGGGCTGAGTTCGGTCTGCGAGGGTTTGGACCTCGGTGCAAGACCCAGCAGGACGCAGCACTGCAAGAAAGCTCTGACCCACAGACACGTACTTACCCTGAACAAAGAAAACGAGATAAACTCTACCCTGTTCATCGTGTGTGCTTTCTTCCCCTAGTCTACAGTGGAGCAGTTCGTGTGGACTGACCATTAAATGGTGTGAAAAGCTTTCAGGCCTTTGCTTTTGCAAGTCATTTACTCTGCTGCATGCTAATGTTGGAGTAGAGGAACTCCAGCAGGAAGACAACTGTCCTTGGCTTCTCTCCCACCTTCAATGTGCAGGAGGAGGAATGGTGGAAGTCTTTGGATGACCGGATGGATGGATGGTGAGAGAACCTGTTAGCAGCATCCTGACCTCTTACTGTAATTTCTACGCTAACCTTCCCCTCCAGCCTGGCTACTCCTAGGAGCTGCTTTGCATCCAAAGCTTTTTCTTGCAAAAGATGCTCTTTCTGTATGAGTTGGCTGGAACTAATTGGATCACTTTGCTATCATGACCAGAACTGGTTACTTGAGATGTTAAGTGGGTACTGGTGAGACAGGCACAGGCTCTCAGCTTCTGTAAACCTCACATGATCTAGAGCAAGTGCTGCAGCACTCACATGCCTCCAGGGAGCAATTTCATTTCACAGCAATCCCACGGGCTTTTTTTTCTTCAGAAAGCAGGAATTTACAGTCCAATTTCAGCTCAGCATCAACTGCAAGCGGTTATTTAGCGAGGGCTCTTGCACATTTTGCTTGTATGGGCTGAACAAGGATCAAATAAAGCAAGAAATCAAGACTTTTGGGGGAGCTGGAGGTGGGGGTTTTTTTCAGTAGTCACTTAGGCAATTGAATGCTCAGTTCTCGCTAGTGATTTCAAGGCTTCTCAGCTTTCTCCTGTGCTTCCCTTGCTGTGCTCCAGAGAGTGCTCTTCTCCCAGACGGAGAGATCCAGCCCCTTGCACCATAGCCAAATGTCTGGGTGTGAGTA